TCCAGGGCAGCTGGCCAGGATTTGTGCTCTTCCACAAGAGCCCCAACAGCTCAGGCAGTGGGAAAGATGAAATATTGGAAAATAAGGCCATTTATGAAGCTCCAATAAAAAGCTGTCGTTTAGATTAAGTCACATTGGAGCAGCAGATATTCACCAAATAATCAAAGCACTCAAGATTTACCTTGTTAATTTAATGGCAGATGGTTTGCATTGGGTGGAAACGTGCAGCTTTTTCTGGCTTAGACAGAAATTTACTTTTGTTGCAATAACAAAGCCACAGCATTCACCAAGCCCTTCCCCCTGCCCTAGAGCAGGCCCGAGTTGATCATCTTTAATCTGGCTTTTAAATAAGGGTCTCTATTAATATATCTTTTTAAAAAAAAAAAAAAAATCAATTCCCCATGAGCAATCAATACAGCAAGATGTGCTACAAGTTCAGTGACAAAAAAAAAAAATAATAATAAAAAAAAATCGGCTGCAGCTCGAGAGAAATAGAGCCCCATTTAAGAGCTGAATTCAGTTCATTAGGGGGTTAAACACAAAGCCCTGCCTGAGCTCAGCACTGCTGGGTGGCCTGGCTGCAAAATAAAAGGCAGCAATTTCCCCTCCACACCGAGCCTGATTTTCATTTGTGCTGAAACCACTCTGGAGGGGCCTTAAAGTGACTTTAAATGGCAGCTCCCTGTGGCAGGAAGGGGCCCCGGTGTCCATTTGAAAAAGCAGCATTGCTGGAGTGGGGCAGGATGCTCCTCTGTGCCATCAAAGGCCATTCCAGGCTCAGGGAAGCCAAGGAGAGGCTGATGATCCTCCAGGGGAAAAGTGGCCCAGGATGGTCTTGATGGCCCTCAGTGAGCTCTGAAAAGCATTTGGGGATCTGTGGCTGGAAAATGAGGTGCAAATGCTCAGTGAGATCATTAATGAAGCCAGGCGGTGGCAGAGAAATGCAGGATTTTAGGAAAAAGCTGTGGCAAACCTCGATTTTTCCTTCCCATTTTTGAATGAAGCCCCGGCTCACCCAAACTGGGACTGTGGGGGAAGTCCTGCCCACCTGCAGAGGAAAAGCTGAAAACATCTTCAACACCCCCTTGGAATTTGGGGTGAAGAGGAGAAAATATCTGCTGTGGACATGGCATAAAGCAGTGAAGAGGCAGAGTGGCCTCAGGATGAGTTCCTGACGAGATTTCCTCTTTGTGGAGGGAACAATGACAGCACAGGAGGGCCCTCCTCAGGCTTTTAGGAAAAACCAAACTGGTTTTTCCAGTTAGAACTGGAATTGCATTCAAATGCTGTTATTACTCATCCAGGCTGGCCCAGACAAGGGTGACCCACTGAGCAAATGAAGATTTCTCCACACGAAGGGGCAGAGGGACAGCAGCTACTGAGCTGTGACAGCCATGGACACACGGCACAAATGCAGAAAGTTTCATTCCAATGAACTTCCTGGAAGAGAAAGACAATCCTGGTTTAGCTGAGCTGAGCTCAGGGCCTGGAGGGGCTCCAGGAGAGCTGGAGAGGGACTGGGGACAAGGGACAGAGGGACAGGACACAGGGATGGATGGGATCTTGGGAATGAGG